ATGCTGACTCTGTAAATCGCTTGGAGAGGGCTGTAAAGCACTGTGAAGCGGTATATAATTCTAGGTGCTATTGCTATTTAACTATGGTTACACTGCAACTGAATAGGATTCACACATCATGTTGTTCCATAAACCATGGCTCATGATGCACAATAGCTGGGTTCTCAAGAGGTTAACACACAAATAACAAATCGCAAGAATGACATTTCCTGCCTCAAAAGCTACAAGCCACAAATGTTCAATTTTGCACTCTATCTAAGCCGTTTTCCAGACAAGCCCTGCATTGTTATTCACTCTCAAATCCTGGCTTGTCTGCTGGCAGTAAACTAAAACCCTTAGCTTGAATGTAATGCCAATTTAAATATTTCTGGGCTGATTTTTCTTTGTTTCTATAAAGAGAAAGAGAAAGTAGAATTACATAGTAAGCTCTGCGGGCTGGCTTAGAACACAAGAAACCAAGAATTTTGGTTTACCCCTTCCATACAAATGCAATCATTATTTGTGATCATCCCCACCCTTGAAAGTTTTTGGAGGAAAAAGCACAATGTTTTTTTAAATCCCAGACATTAGGCCAAGGCTGCAAAAGAATAGTCTGTATTAGGCATAAAATTCCCAGCACAAAATCTCAAAAATGAAAAAGCACAGTGCGCTACCGTGTTTCCCTGAAAATAAGACTGGGTCTTATTTATTTAAATTTTTTTGCCTCCAAAAGAGGTACCAGGTCTTACATTCGGGGAGGGGGGTCTTTTCCACTCACCTTGGCACCGACAGCCCCTCCCCCAGCTGGTCCACTTCTTCGGCGGCCAGCTTCATTCTACAGCCAAGAATGGAGCTCCAGCCTTCATTTCGCAGTCAAAGGCCTTTCCAGAAGGCCTCTGCAGCTAATAGCTGAGTAATGGATTCAATCCATAGCTCGGTTCTCGGCTGCAGAGGCCTTCTGGAAAGGCCTCTGACCGTGTAATGCAAGCCTGGGGACACCGCAGAAGAGGTAGACTGGCAAGGAGAGGCCTGGCTGCCAGGTAAATGGGTGCAGGGTGCGTGGGGCAGCTCAACCCCCACGCCAGCTTGAATTTTAGGTGTGTGCCTCGCCCCAAAGTAGGGCTTATTTTGGGGGTAGGACTTATATTAGGCCCACCCCCAAAAAAATCAAGCTAGGGCTTATTTGGGGGGTAGGTCTTGCTTTCAGGGAAACACAGTATATATTTAAGAACACGACGTCAAGATTATAGATCAATGATTTACCGCAGTAGAGACCTTTAAAATGCTTTTTCGTCAAACATTTACCAATCTGTTTTTCTTCTCACAGACAAAATACACACATTCAGACAGTTAGCAAACTTTCGCCATGATCCAAAACCGTTTAATAAGCAACTATTGCTAAAGATACGGAGGTATTATTATTATTCAGATAGCACTATATACAAGATACTTCAAAACGAAAGGATAGCTTTCTGTCCCAAAAAGCTTACAACTGAAAAATACACACAGTAGAGAAAACTGAAAGTACATAAAAAAAGAGAAAGGAAAAGAGGAGAAATGTTTAAAGAATATAGATATGTCACTGACCTGGAAGGGTAAATAAGACCCGTTCTACTGTGTTTCGCAACGTCTCTCCTTGTTGCCATTCTGTCTGGGGCAACAGCCATATATCTTCCTCTCCAAATTTCTGCTTCACCAGCAGCAGCAAATTCTGGTCCAACTTCCTGTTCAAAGAGGTCCGGTCATCGTTTTGGTCAGCGTCTGCTCAGAAAGAAATTTAGTATTAAAAGTATTCAGCTACTCAACCGCCCAAAGGAGCTACACTAAGAACAAATGACCAAGAGACAGAAGACAGATGTAATTTACAAACTGAACTGGCCGCACAATGCTTTCCTACTTCAGGTGATAGCAACAGCATCTATATTTATTTTTTTAGAAAGTAGTAATGGAGATCATTTCAATACCCAATTCCCATCCAGTGACTTGCTTAAAACTGGACTGCCCAAGAAGCTTTCTACCGAATTCTCAAACCAGAATCTGCCTTTCTGTAATTTAAGTTTTTGTGGAATGTTGCACTCTGAAATGATAAAAAAAAAGAAAAAAAGATTGTGGTCTTTGCCACCTGACTTGAAAAATGTTGATTTCTCCTTCTCGAGCACATAGTTCTCCCAATTTCCATTCAGCTATAACCAAACATATTCAGCAAAGTTAGCGGGGAAAAGCATGGATATGAACCTGTTATGCGTGGGGCAGGTTTGAACTTCTGAAATTTCTGTTCCCATGCATCTTCAATATCTTGGACTAGGACAATCTTCTCGGGAATATCGTATTTTTCTTTACTCCTTTGACGCAGAAGCTCATCCTCTGCGAAACATCGCAGTTCATGGTCTGAATACAAGCTTTTCTCTACCTCTATCTGAAAAGAAAAACAAGTTGTAGATTCCAGCTTGCTTGTACACACACCTTAGAGTAACATTTGCAAACTTGGACCATCCCAAAGTCGGACATTCGTTTATGGTACAGCCTGTCATGCGATCCTAGTTCAGTACATCACAATTAAATAAATTATGGCTTAGCACTATATATTGGTCCATCTAGTTTGAGATTCTTCAAAGCAGTAGTTCTCATGCTTTCATATTTTAAATCTCGCTGGTCACTCTACCAAAGAACTTAGAAGGCCCTTTCTTCATAGAAAGATATGTTAACAGGCATTATTGTACTTTCCAGTTATGGAAAGTTTTAGGAACATAATGTTGACAGTACTACTGTAGTTTAGATCAGTGCTTCTTAAACCTTTTGCTCCCAGGACCCCTTTCCTGAGCTTCTATTTGTATGGATATTTATCAACATGTATCATATCAAAAATTAAAATTGACACATTCACAGACTCCGGTAAAAATAACAATATTAAACCCATTAGGTATTTACATAAACAAAATATTTTTCATGAAAAATTCCTGTATTTTTAACTAATACAAAATTGGGGGAGGGGGGAAAACAGAGTGGGGGGAAAAACTGAAAAAATTCGGAGGGGAAGGAAGAGAAAGAGTATTTTCCTGTTGGTTTTCTTTTCAAAGCCGTTGGGGAAAAAACGGGAAAAAACCTCTGCCCCCCCCCATTTTTTCAGGGTTTTTTTTTCCTGGCCTTCCCATCTCTAGGACTCCAGATGCCCGCAGCAGGACCCCCCCCAAAGCCCCATCGCCGGGCTCCCCCATTCATTTCCTTCTAGGGCTGAGACCCCAGCGGCTTCTGGAAGGACTGGCGCTGCCCGGTGCCCCAAGCAATAGGAGGGAGGGTCTTCCTCCCG